CTTCATATCAATAAATTATATCACATTGACTGCATTTGTATCATTAACTGGGATTAACTGAATACCGATCGTATGTTGTTGGCTCCGTGAGAAAAAGTGTCAAGCGTGGTGTAAGGAGCTACCCTTAAAATATCTAGAGGAGTGAGTCAATCTGGGTGAGTTTTTGAGAGTACTGGCCTCTTAAAAAGCGTTCTGTTATCAGTGAAGTGCATTCCGTTACACTAAAATGCCAACAGCAGAACCACCGTCACTATATCGTTATGGTGTTATATTTTACACAAGGTTTAGATTACGTTCACTCAAACTATTTTACAATGCTTATTTAATGTATCCAAAAGAGAACGACAGAACTTAGCAGGCACTAGTTGTGACACCTCCGTGGAATCACGAAGCACTTCTAAAACTGTATCTATTATCTCAAAAAAAAAAAATTAGGCGTTATCAAATGCGGTGAAATCTCCTCCAAAAGGACCTTCGATATCGAAGTTCATTAACCTGGGCTTCGACTTAATTTTGGACTGAAATAGTGTATCTGTTATTATAGTGTGAAGGTTCTGAGTTTTTGACGATTCACCCTGACGTAGAATGAGGACTTCGCAACAAAGATTCTTATGTCACACTTGTCTTGCTGAATACTGATAAAAGAATAAATAGGAATGCATGTTCAGTACTCGAGTACCAAGTCACCATTCCACTTCTTATCATCGAAAAGATGTAATAGAGAGTTTCAGCATGACGTTTACGCCAGACGGCAAACGGCTAAGATTACCTCTGATTTTTTATTCTTTTCTTGTAATCCTTAAATAAATCATACAAAAATAGAAAAATGTCTTCCACTATTCACCGCAAATACAAATACTTTCACTCTACTGTACAGACAGCTGAAGACAGACAGCAAAAGTTTCATTTCTGCCGTTTGCCGTTTGACGTAACGTCATACTTAATCTCTCTAATATCACTTTCGTCACCATGATGTGCAACCAGTTGACCAAATACTCCGGTTAATAACAGCATATATGTAGTCAACCTTTGGATAATAAACTTCTGATATCCAGTCACATAAATCCTTGTCGAATTCTGGATCTGAAGTTTAACTTACATTACGTAACAAAAGTAATTTCAGTTTGCCAGTAACCATTGGCGATCAGAACATTTCTCTCTTACCTTGATCTTACCGCTATCTCGACTATCATCAGCTTTCCACACACATTGTTTCCAATTGCTTTGTGGCACTGCACTAGACGGACTTGTCACGCTTTCTCCTTTCTCTCCCTTATCGCCTTTTATTCCTTGATCGCCCACAGTTCCGCGCG